GAATGTGCGTGTTGTCTCCTTTAATAATTCCTTGAAATTACAATACTGTTATAATAAATTGTATTTAGTACATTATTTATTTTACATAAGCTAAAACAATGCGAATTTTAATATTAATAATATAAATAATTTTACATTGAAGAAAGTTTACATGAAATAACTTGCCGACCCGTAATTGGGATCAAGGTAAATATAACATTTTTTAATATTTTTCAAAATTTATATAATTTATATAATTTATATATTTTATTATTCACAATAAGAAAGAACAAAGAGATTCCAAAGATAAAATTAAATTAGGTTCCATTATTGCAAACTTTTCTCTTCTTATGGAATAAGTAGAACATAAAGATAAAGATTCATGATAGCTACGTATATAACAACATAAATACGGCTTTGAGAGAAGAGCAAAAAATTAGTGTTAAAAGATTTCCAATATTTATTCGAACCAGTGCATTTGTGTGATGCAGATAACGTTAGATACAAATTGTTCAACCATTTGACATTGTGTGGCAATTTGTAACAATATTTTACATGTATTTATGTAAAATATTGTTAATTATGTAAAAATAAAAACTAAGAAGTTTTATAATTTTTCGATCAAATTTTCAGTGAAATCAACTCTTAAATTTTAAATTAGAATATCAAATCATATTTTGTAATTTAATCATAATTAAAAATATACCAATTATATAATAAATAATTCTTCCTTTATCTTTAGAATGTTATTTTACAAAAAAATTTTATATAAGTATTTTTCAAAAAATAAAAAAAAAGATAGGAGTATATAAAAAAATTTTATAGTTAATGTACTTATTTTAAATTAAATATTTTCATGATGTTGAATTTAAGGGCTAAAATCGCATTTGCAAATCTATTTATTGCATGATTTTTTAGTTATGCTTCTCACTTACGTATTCCTTGACATTTTTCGTGCGCACCGCCTTATAGGAAGCATATGCCGGGTACAAGGTGCCGAAGACCAATCTGAAAATCGGATAAACGAGCCTATAAATGAGGGATCGCGGCGACACTATCGCCAGGAACACCGTCAACAATCCGACGTTGTTCAACGTCATTCTTATGGAAAATGTTTGCAGCCAGTAACGACACCAGGCCATCGCTTGTCCCGCCAAAAGCTCGCCGATTCCCGCCCTATGGATCACCGCGATCGGTAATTCATCCGATCGCGGTACGTCCTTCTCAAAAACATCTATCGTCGATCGACGGTCTTTTCTCATATCTATTGTATCCATCGTATTAGCAATTTATTTCTCTCTATCTCTCTTTCTCTCTCGCGTCGCGCGACGACAACGTTTCTCTAGTCGTGAAATTTTGAATGCTTTCGGAGATCCTGCGACGATCGTCGAACCAGCACGACGAGTCAAGCTGCAACACAAAACAGAAATTATTTGAGAGATATCGTTACCATGTGTTAGTGACGCAATTATGAATTTAAGAAGACTCAATGGATGAAAGATTTGATTAACGTGGGTACTTTAAGTACTTTAAGGTCTTGTTAGCGAAATCAACTTATCGGACTTGTTAAAGCTCCAATGAATGAGTTCGACGATTGGAATAATTATAGAATAGAATGACATAGTTCTACTTTTTGATAAAATTAAGTATTAACCTAGCAAAATCGTTGTAGCGAATTAATATCGACATGTGTCATAGAAAACATTATAATGCTATATGATAACACTCGAATATTTGCACAGAAACAATTGACTAAATAAGTATAAATGAGAAATTTAAATTAATGTATACTCGAACATTCGCATAGAAACGATTGACTAAATATAAGTATAAATGAGAAATTTAAGAAGGTTCTCGCGTATGATGAAATATAAGACAAGTCTATAATATACATGCAAAAGTTAATAATATCAATATCTAGAAAAAAATTTCATTGACTTTTACTGTATCATTTTGAAGATATTTAACTCTAAATTTATAGAATTTTACATTACAAATTAAAGGTATAACCTTATTCTGTAATTATTCTCTTTTAAATTGAGACGCTTGCGTAAGACAGCAATTTAAAAATATAATTATAAAGTAAACACTTAAGTTTGTTCTCGTAAAGTTTCATTTAAACTGACCATACAGTTTACAAGAAATTTATATTTTTCAATGAAAAAAAGCTAAAATATATGTCAAATGGACGATGCATATACATCAAATGAGCATCTTACAACTTTTATTTTGTCATTTTGAAAATATTTAGTAACATAAAATTAACAATAATTACGTACAATGGCATAAGATATTGTTAGTAATCTTTTCATTCCATTATTTTAATTGTTTTACATATTATTATGAATAAACCGTCTATTGACTAGGAAGTAGCGCGAGAACCTCCTTAAATTAATGTATAAATGTACATATGTATATGTACACTCACAGACTAAAAGGTTGCAACACTTTTTTTTAAATGGATTTTGGAATGCAGTCTGCTCACCGAGCTATTGGTTCTTACTATGGATCCATAAGTAAGAACCAATCGCTCAGTGAGCAGACTGCATTCCGAAACCCATTAAAAGAAAAGTGTTGCAATCTTTTAGTCGGTGAGTATATATATATATATATACAGGGTGTTTCCAAATTAAATCGCAAAACTTCGGGAGCGTGTAGAGGAGTAAAAAACTAAGAAAAAAAGTCCTATAGACATAACAAGAGCCGTGTTTGACAGATGCAATGCTTGTATTGCTGCAAGAGGTGCACATTTCGAACAAAATCTTCATTAAAAAGTTTATAAATAAAATAATTAAAATAATAAATTAAATATATTTTTTTCTTTTTTCGTGATTTCCTGCGAAACAAAGCAAAAAGGAGCATATGTCTATAGGACTTTTTTTCTTAGTTTTTTACTCCTCTACACGCTCCCGAAGTTTTGCCATTTAATTTGGAAACACCCTGTATATACACACACATATATTATATATACATATACACACGTACATACTCCAGTTTTCAAAATCTCTACAATATTTACATCTTGAATTTACAAAAACATTTGTTTTTCAATATATTAAACTCACGTCGCATTTTAAAAAACATTTTTCGTATTTCTACATTATAGGAACAAAATATTGAAAATATAAATCGTAAAAAAATACGCGATAGTACGTTGTGTATTTTAAATATGTAATTTTACATCGGATTGTTGATCTCGCTTACATTCATCAAATATTTTAGCTGTTTGTACGAACGATTTACACTTTTCGACGGTAGCATTATTGAATGATCATCGAATTTAGAATTCCGGAGCAGTGCTTTTAATTGAAGCACGATCTGCTGATCGATATTTGCAATGACCTCGATTACTCTGCTCTCATTTAATAGATTACGCAAGAAACTTATTATGGGGATCCAATTAAACACGCGGTACGACACTCGGTACGACAGTACGTCAACCGTGTCTTCTATCTCTTTGAGATAAAAAATCAGTTACAATTGACAGTGTCAACATATTGTGAGTTGTAATCGATTTTTTATCTCAAAGAGATAGAATAATACTGTCCTTTATTTTTTCAAGTATTATTCACGCAAGATTTATATGCCTTCGTATCGTAACATTGTATGATTGCATTGCAATATAGATAAATTTTATGTACAGTAATAAATTAACAATAAATAAAGAATTGAATTTATTGTTAATACAAAGAAAAAACACTGAATTATTTAAAAATTCAGCTAGATACAGATCTGAAAATAATTTTGTTGAATCATTAAAATTATTATGTAGAATGTTCAAGCTGACAACTATCTGAAACTTTTTGCAGCATTTATCATGTTTAAGCATTCTACATAATTATTTTGATAATACAACAAAAATTATTTTCAGATCTGCATTCTGCTCAATTTTTAGATACTTCAACCAAATCATTCTTTGTATACATACTTGTGGCAGTTAAAATAGTTTTATGATTCACTTGTTCTTTAATTTACATATTTTATTATATAATTGGTTTCAAATAATTTTTTAAAAATAAGATCACCTCTTATTTTTATGAACTTTGATTATTAATTAAGAGCACGGGTATTCTTAAATATGTAGGTATATAGGAATTGTATAGTAAAGAGTAATTTGCCATTCAAATAATCCACACTAATTATGCTCGTTAATATCTTGATTTTGTACACCAAAACTTTTGCAATTTATCTCACTAATCTATACGAAAACAACAATAAACTGTCTAAAAAATTCAACGTTTTCTTCTTACAATCCAATCGGTGCGTCCGTCAGATTCATTCGCGTTTCGTCTCCTCAAACTCCAGTCCCTGCCCGTTCGTTCCTGTGGCGAGACGTGCGAGACACGACGCCTCGTCAGTTCTCTCGTCGTGACGAATTCTGGCGAACCGTTTCCTGCTCTGTCACCAAAGTCTTTGTCGTGCGTGTCGTTGTTCTTCCTTAGATTATTTTCTTGCGTGTGAGACCGAGCTCCCAAGTTAATACGCCGCGCAATTCGTTCTTCTCGCGTATGCTTCCAGTTACAGACTAAGCGCGTAGCTGCGTCTGTTCGGGCATCGTCAACGACGTCGACGACGACGACAACGAGCTGCGGAGGCTCTATTTTCGCGCCTTAAGGCGCTATCACGCGAGTGCTGCTAAACTATGCCTGGAACCGCGGCTTTCTCAATTGTGATTCACCTGATCATCTTTGCGCCACGAGTCGCTTCCGTGAACTCTCCACATTCTGGAGAACCGCCTCAGCTCAAAACTGTTCATGTTCGTCGTATGTCGGAGTAAATAGAAATAATCAATACAATTAAGAAATATTATTTTCGGACAGAAATTATTTCGAAATATGCATTTCTTTTTATCATTATATTTAATGAATAATTTGCAACTGTGATCATTTTCGAAAATATTGAATAAAATGCTATTTCCTACAAGTTTAAAGAAGAATTCTATTAGAACTCACTTGAAAATAAATAAAAAATAGTCTTATTATTATATAAAATATTCAAAAAGAGGCTTAATTAAAAAAATTTTTAATGTTTAATCATTTTCAATTTAAAAATACTATTAAAGCTTAAAAACGTTATAGCTTATTTCTGTTCGACATCGAATAAAGGTCAAAGAGTCTATAGACCAAAGTGAATGTGAAGAACTCGAAATATTTTGAATTACAATAACTCAAATGTTGGAAATCTCCAAAATGCTGTTTTAAATCAAAAGTCATAAAAGTATTTGCGACAGATGTATTTAGAGTGTATGACCGTTTTTCCGAGTGGGTCATCTCCGTATGTGCCAGATGGGCAAGTTAATTATATGCACCAACCTAGATATCGAATCGGTTTTATCAGAATGAGGATCGTGATTTAATTTTCCAAATGCCGTAATGTTCGAATTTAGATTCAGTCGAGTTATAAACCTTGCGCGCAAATTAAATATTGGCATCGTTTCACCTATAAATACTTAAGTCGTGACTACAAACATGGGATAGGATAAATATCGATATTCCTAATACCACACACTTTAGACATACAGAATAACACGCAAGTCAGATAGGAAACATAATAGAAATATTGTTTCTCCTGAACATCACGTGTGTGAATGTTCTGTGTGACAGTCTCTCAAAAGTTTCGACAGTACTCTGGAGGTCTCTAAAGTCTCTGGAGAAATAAATTAAGCAACGAATAATACGCAACAGTTATAACTTGTGTGTTTATAACTTCATGAATTAATTTTATATATTGTTGGATAATTAAATTTTGTTGTATACGGTGAAACTTCGAAAAACGTTTCCGTCGTCGTTTTAACCTGGTTTCTCTCGTCCGAGGCGCAGAAAAGTTTCCTTATAAGAATAAAAACAATGGCTGCATTAACACGAGTTGCCAAGTCACTTCATCAAATCAACCGAACGAATTAAATTAGCGCGTTAGCGTCAATTCTTCGTAGATAGAGTGACAGAAAGTCTCGCGATAGAAATTAAAACCGATGTAACCTAAGCGAATTCGATTGTCTTATACGTCGTAAATGCGCCGAAAGATGCACCGTAATGTCACTCATCTCAATTTCACTGCTACAAAAATTGCGAGTATTTTCTTTATTTTATACTGTTTGTTGAATATTTGTCAGTAGCTTCAATTATTGAGAAATCTCGCTTGCGTTAATTATAGTAATAATTCATATACATATATGTATATAAATTATAGTTAATATTGTATAGATATTATATATTAATTAATATTATGTATTAATATATAATATTAATATTATATTATACTGCATACACACACATATTAATTTAATATTATATATTAATTATAAATATATATTAACTACACATAGCGTATGTTATATATAGTTAATATATAATTAATATACAATAATTCATACATTATATATAAATGTTACGTACTTCATTACCATTATTACAATTATCACTCTGTGCAAAATATTTTTTAATAATTAAAATACCGACAAATATCACTGATATCGCAACTGATCGTGAATAGTACGACACCGCTTGACGTTTGTGATGCGAATACGACGAATATCGCGAAACTGAACGAAACCTCCGCTCGTACAAAATCGTGAACGATCGCAGCCGCAGGTAATTCAATGATTGTCACCAATGTCGTTCTCTGTCGCGGATTATGT